AAGGGATGAGCAATTTTCCCCCCTCCCCCAAATGAGTGCACCTCCCCTTTTTAGACCATATAGGGTAACTTCTGGTCATTTCCTTGGAATCTGTAAACTGTCAAGGTGCTGGTGGGAGAGTCTTTTAGCATGTGAATGCATTTAACTGGCATATAATGAGCAATGTGGGCGACCGGAGATCACTTTTGTTACCATCTTGGTTTTGGTGGGATTTGGCCACTTTCTTTACCACTGTTTGATCACCAAGGTCTTTGTGATCTGTATCACCTGTGGATCTTCTTTTTTTTTTGAGATGGAGTCTCACTCTGTCACCCAGGCTGGAGTGCAGTGGCCCAATCTTGGCCCACTGCAACCTCTGCCTCCCAGGTTCAAGCAATTCTCCTGCCTCAGCCTCCTGAGTAGCTGGGGTTAATGGGCATGTGCCACCATGCCCATCTAATTATTTTTGTATTTGTAGTGGAAACAGGGTTTCACTATGTTGGCCAGACTGGTCTCGATCTCCTGAACTTGGGTAATCCACCCACTTCTGCCTCCCAAAGTGCTGGGATTACTGGGATGAGCCACCATGCCCGGTCCTTGTGTCAATCTTCTATCTCATCCTTGACTAAGAATGCCTAGCCTCCTGGGAATGCAGAGTAGGTCTAAGCCTCACTTTACCCAGCCCTTATTCAAGGTGGAGTTGCTCTAGTTCGAAGGCCTCTGACAGTGTCTCATTGTACTACGCAGGCTGGTCTTGAGCTCCTGGCTTCAAGGGATCCTTTTGCCCCAGCCTCCCAAAGTGCTGGGATTACAGCTGAGAGCCACCATAAATTGTCCTTTCCCCCATCTCTAATTCCTAGGAACGATTAAACTAGTCTATCCTCTATGTCTATATTTTTGTTATTAATATTTCACAAATGTTAAATAAATGCAAGAATACAATATGTAACTTTTTATGATGGGCCCTTCTTCAGTCAGATTTCCCTTGAAATCTATCCAAGGAATTATGTATATTACATGTATTAATAGTTTGTTATTTTTTTCTATTGTTGAGTAGCATTCCACGGTATGGAAGTAGCATAGTTTGTTTAACCATTCACATGATGAAAGACATTTGTGTTGTTTCCAGTTTTTTGGTTATTAAAAACAAAGCTGTAAGGAACATTTGTGCACAGGTTTTTGTGTGAACAGAGCATGAGTTTTCTTTTCTGTTGGGTAAACGCTCAAGAGTGCAATGGCTGGGTCATATGGTAAGTACATGTTTAGTTTTATAAGAAATTGTCAAACTTTTTCGGAGTGGCTGTACAATTTTACATTTTCTGCCAGTAATGTGGATCCAGTTTCTTTACCTTCTTAACCGCATTTGGTGTGTCACTACTTTTCATTTTAGCATTCTGACAGGCATGTAGTAATAGCTGATCTGGTTTTAATTTGAATTTCCCTGGTGGTTAATAATAAAGCATCTTTTCAAGTGCTTTCTTGCCTCTGTATATCCTGTTCAACGACATGTCTATTCATGTCTTTTGTCCATTTTCTTTTTCTTTTTCTTTTTTTTTTTTAATGGAGTTTTGCTCTTGTTACCCAGGCTGGAGTGCAATGGTGCGATCTCAGCTCACCACAACCTTCGCCTCCTGGGTTCAGGCAATTCTCCTGCCTCAGCCTCCCGAGTAGCTGGGATTACAGGCACGTGCCACCATGCCCAGCTAATTTTTTGTATTTTTAGTAGAGACGGGGTTTCACCATGTTGACCAGGATGTTCTCGATCTCTTGACCTCGTGATCCATCTGCCTCGGCCTCCCAAAGTGCTGGAATTACAGGCATGAGCCCCCGCGCCTGGCCCCACCATTTTCTTTTTTTTTTCCTCAAATTAATAGGTCTTTTATTGCATCATTTAAGTATCACAAGTAGGTCTTAGCTATGATAGGCATCTTGTTTCTGTAGCTGGACTTACTCATCAGCCTGCTGAACAGTTCCTTTTTCAGAGACTTAGATACCATCCAAAAATTTCCGGATATCCTTGTTTTTAACTGTTGTAGCTTGCTGAATCAAAGCCACTGAATTTGACACAAGCTCAATGTCATTTCCTTCAAGGATTAATTCATCTTTCTGGGCTTGAGATACTGAACAAGCAACACCTGGTCTCATTGGAACCCTGCGGATGTATTTTTCACCCAAGAAATTTCAGATTTCAACAAGAGACCCATTCTCCTGGATAACGACGTTGATGGGGAAGTGAGCATACACAGACCTCATCTTGTAACGGAAGCCCAGCGTAACACCCTTGATCATGTTCTGTACATGACTACAAATAGTCGGAACGGTAGCCAGTTCCTTTCCGTTACCCCACCATTTGTCAACCTGGAGCCTCTTTTTTTTCTTTCCAAGAAGACTGAGTTCTACATTGATGTGATTGAAGTCCCTCTGCAGGGTTCCTCTGGGCCCCACCATTTTATAACTGGATTTTTTTAACCTGTTGAGTGTTCAGAGCTCTTCAAATATTCAAACCTTGAAACAAAGACAAGGCCTTTATCTGATATGCAGTTTGCAAATTTTTTCCTCCACTCCAGCTTATTTTTACGACTTCTTCAAAAGGTCTTTCACATGGCAAGGGTTTAAAATTTCTTTTCTGCCAGGCATGGTGGCTCATGCCTGTAATCCCAGCATTTTTCGAGGTCAAGGTGGATGGATCACCTGAGGTCAGGGGTTCGAGACTGGACTCACCAAAATGGTGAAACCCTGTCTCTACTAAAAACACAAAAATTAGCAGGGTGTGGTGGCACACACCTGTAGTCCCAGCTACTTGGGAGGCTGACACAGGAGATATTGCTTGAACCTGGGAGGCAGAGACTGCAGTAAGCCGAGATCACACCAAGGCACTCCAGCCTGGGCAAGAGAGCAAGACTGTGTCTCAATCGATCAATAAAGGCTGGGGTGGCTCACCTCCATAAAGCCATGGCACTCCAGCCTGGACGATAGACCAAGACTTCGTCTAAATAAATAAATAAATAAATGCTGGGCACAGTGGCTCACACCTGTAATCCCAGCACTTTGGTAGGCCAATGTGGATGGATCATTTGAGGTCAGGAGTTCGATACCAGCCTGGCCAACATGGGGAAACGTCTGTACTACAAATACAAAAATTAGCCAGGTGTGGTGGCAGACACCTGTAGTCCCAGCTACCTGGGAGGCTGAAGCATGAGAGTTGCTTGAACTCATATGGCAGAGTTTGCAGTGAACAGAGATTGTGCCATTGTGCTCCAGCCTAGGTGACAGAGCAAAACTTGGTCTAAAAAAAAAAAAAAAAAATTTTATTTATTTATTAGAGACTGAGTCTGGCTGCTGCCCAGGCTAGAGTGCCCTGGCACAGTCTTGGCTCACTGCAACCTCTGCCTCTGGGGTTCGAGCGATTCTGGTGTGTCAGCTTCCTTAGTAGCTGGGACTACAGGCGCATGCCACCACTCTGGTCTAGTTTTTGTATTTTGAGTAGTGACAGGGTTTCACCATGTTGCCCAGGCTGGTCTTGAATTCCTGAGCTCAAGTGATCCTCCTGCCTCCCTCCGGCCGCCGCCTCCCAACGTGCTGGGATTAGGGGCGTGAGCCACCTCATTAGGCCAAAAATTTTAAATTTCAATAAGATTCAATTTATCAACCTTTTCCTTTTATAGATTGGGCTTTTGGTATTGTCTAAAAATTCTTTGCCTAGCCGTAGGTTCTGAGGATTTTTTTTAAAGTTTTTTTCCCCATTAGTGGTTTATTTTACATTTTTTTTTTTTTTTTTTTTGAGGAGTTTTTGCTCTTGTTACCCACGCTGGAGTGCAATGGTGTGATCTCGGCTCACCGCAACCTCTGCCTCCTGGGTTCAGGCAATTCTCCTGCCTCAGCCTCCCAAGTAGCTGGGATTACAGGCACACGCCACCATGCCCAGCTAATTTTTTTTTGTATTTTTAGTAGAGACGGGGTTTTACCATATTGACCAGGATGGTCTTGATCTCTTGACCTCGTGATCCACCTGCCTCGGCCTCCCAAAGTGCTGGGATTACAGGCTTGAGCCACTGCGCCCGGCCTTTACATTTAAATCTATGATTCGAGTTAATTTTGTATGAGATGTGAGTTTTAGATTGAGGTTAATTTTTTGCGTCTATATTTGTCCAATTGCTCCAGCATCATTTGTTGAAAAGGCTCCTGATTCCATTTTTGTACCTTTCCCCATTCAGTTCCCCTTAAGAGCAGTGAGAATTTTTTTTCCCCTGAAAACGTTTATCAGTGATGATGTCACGGCTTGTGCAAAATCTGTACTAGCATCTCACAACATAAGATTTGGCTCTGGCCGGGAGCGGTGGGTCAAGCCTGTAATCCCTGCACTTTGTGAGGCTAAGGCAGATGTATCAAGGGGTCAGGAGATCGAGACCATCCTGGTTAACACTGTGAAACCCCGTCTCTACTAAAAATATAAAAATTAGCCAGGCATGATGGTGCGGGCCTGTAGTCCCAGCTACTCGCGAGGCTGAGGCAGGAGAATCGCTTGAACCCGGGAGGCAGAGATTGTAGTGAGTGGAGATTCTGCCATTGCACACCAGGCGGGGTGACAGAGCCAGACAATGTCTAAACAAATGAATAAGTAAGCAAGTAGGAAATCAACGGCCAGTCATGGCAGCTCACGCCTGTAATCCCAGCACTTTAGGAGGCCAAGGTGGGTGGATCACCAGGTCAAAAGTTCGAGACCAGCCTGGCCAACATGGTGAAACCCATCTCTACTAAAAATACAGAATTAGCCAGGCATGGTGGCAGGCCCCTGTAGTCACAGCTACTCGGGAGGCTGAGGCAGGAGAATCGCTTGAAAGCGGGAGACGGAGGTTGCACCGCGCCACTGCACTCCAGCCTAAGCGATAGAGCAAGACTCTGTCTCAGAGAAAAGATTTGGCTCTATTCTAACCGTGTTTTCTGCCACTCGATGCCCACCGTAATGCCTGGCTCTTAGAGGATCACTGGGCTTGCCCCCTCACTTCAGGCAGGTCTGTTCTATTATCACTTCCTCAGAGATTTCTCTGGCCTTCTCTTCACAGCACTTACATAATATGATCTATTACATATTAATTTGCTTATTTGTTTCGTTTTCGTATACTCCCATCCCTCCCAGAAGCTACAAGAGAGCATACTGTTGTATCCCTAGGGCCTAGAATACACATAGTGTACTCAATAGTAGGTGCACATAGTAGGTACTCAGTAAACAATATATTGCTTGACAGGCTAGAAGAGGTGAAGAAACACAAAGCAGGAGCGAAAAGTCTACTAGGTCAGGCGCTTTTTGGACTTCATGAAACGTGTGAGCGCCACCTCTCGGGAAGCCAATTTGCTCGCGAACGAAGGAAGTGAGTCAGAGAACTCGGGGGTGGAGGGAAGAAAGCACGCAGCTAACCGGAAGAGCCTGAAGAAGCTAGCGCCGGAAGTTAAACAGCAGAAAGTTGTTCCCTAGATTGACTGCCTACTCCCAAGAGGAAGCGTGGGCAAACGGTGTTCGGCAAAATGGGCTCTCTGGCAGCGGATCTGCGCAGAAGCGTTCCCTGCGTACAAGTGCTGCTAACCACGTGGAGCCCAGAGGCATTTCGGGTGCTGGAGGCTGCAGCCGGAGTTCAAGCCCAAGCTGCTGGAGGGGTAAGAGGAGTTTGGGATCCTCAGAGAAAAGGGAAAGAAATGGAGTTGCGAGAGTGGGGGAGGTGAGGCGGCTTAGTGAAGAAGAGAGTTCAGCTCTGAGAGGCGGCGAGGAGGATCTGATGCGAGGAAAGGCAGGGAGTGCCTGTGGACAGGTGCAGACCGGTCGGCGCGTGTCCCACGCTACGTGGACTCGCCATTGTCGGTGGCCGCTTTTCTTGTCAGGCCGCGACGACAGGGCTGTGCCTTATTTGTCTCTGTGGAGTGCAGTGCCGGGCATGGAGTTGGCGCTCAGTAAGTGCTTGCTGAATGACACGCGTGTGTGTGTCATTCATTCAACAGGCACTGAGTGCTTACTGTTGTGTCACTGGGATCGATGTGGACGGACATTTTTAGGGGCTATTTCTGGTGCTTTATCCCTATTTTTCTTTTTTTAATTTTTTTTTTTAAGTTGCTGCGTGACTCGGATTTAGTCCTATTTTCTCCTGGACAATCTATGCTTGTCCCAAGCCCCATCGGGAGATTCTCCACAGTCTTTGGGCATTCTCTCTCTCTCTCTCTCTCTCTCTCTCTCTCTCTCTCTCTCTCTCTAAGTTGCAGGGCGATGCTCATTTAAGACATTTTTTTTTTTTTTTTGCTGTTATTGACTGCTAGTCCCTGTGGCTAGGTACCATAGACCTACACAGGAGTAAACCAACTTGGTGTGCAGGCCAGAGACCGGTGGGGAGGCAGACACACAAACAGAGAATTGGACTACAGTGCTAAGATGCTGTAAGAAGAGGTTAACTAAAGGACAGGAAGGTGGGGCCAAGGGGTGGTGCTGCTGTCTACTTTAGGAATTGTCTTTCAAGTCGAGGGGCCTCCTGTCTCAAGCTGTGATACAGGGTAGGTCATGAGCCCAGTCTTCTGTAAAATGAAGAGCTGAAATAGGTGCTCTATAGGCTTCCTTTCAGTATGATGCCCCATATCAGATATTACTGTCTTTAGTTCTCCCACACCCCACTGTTTTTTGGCTACTCAAAATATTCCTTGTATAAGGTGTAGCATATGTTACGAGAATGGATTAATGGGTTAGGAATTCTGGGTTTTGACCTTCATTCTGATGTTCTGGTCCTGTTTCCTAGTTTGTAAAATGAAGGGGGTTGCAACGATATATTCTGTAAAACTCTTAATGCTATGGCTGTGGCATTAAGTCAAACTATTATTCACACTACCTTGTACCAGACATCACTTTCACATTAGTAAAACTTTTATCAATGTAGTTTTCCCCAAGCTGGATTCTTGAGAAAGATAGTGCCTTGTTTTTACATCCTGTATCTTAGTTCCACCACAGTGTTTGTTACACAGTAGATGCTTGAAAGAAGCTTATTGGCCGGGTGCTGTGGTTCATGCCTGTAATTCCAGCACTTTGGGAGGCCGAGGTGGGCAGATCATGAGATCAAGAGATCAAGACCATCCTGGCCAACATGGTGACACCCTGTCTCTACTAAAAATACAAAAATTAGCTGGGCATGGTGAGCACCTGTAGTCCCAGCTACTAGGGAGGTTGAGGCAGGAGAATTGCTTCAACCCAGGAAGCAGAGGTTGCAGTGACCTGAGATCGTGCCATTGCACTCCAGCCTGGTGACAGAGCGAGACTCTGTCTCAAAAAAAAAAAAAATGTTTATTAAATCAAATGGGGGCCAGCCTGAGGCTCACGCCTGTAATCCCAGCACCATGGGAGGCCGAGGCAGGTGGATCACTTGAGGTGAGGAGTTGAGACCACCCTGGCCAACATGGTAAAACCCCGTTTCTACTTAAAAAAAAATACAAAAATTACCTGGATGTGGTGGCGCTTGCCTGTTGTCCCAATTACTCGGGAGGTTGAGGTGGGAGAATTGCTTGAACCTGGGAAACAGAGGTTGCAGTGAGCTGAGATCATGCCACTGCACTTCATCCTGGGTGACAAAGCAAGACCCAATACAAAAAACAAAAAAATCAAATGGGGCTTGGTGCGATGGCTCATGGCCGTAATCCTAGCACTTTGGTAGGCTGGGGTAGATGGGTCACTTGAGGACAGGAGTTTGAAACCAGCCTGGGCAACATGGTGAAACCCCATCTCTTGAGAAAAAAGCAAAAGAAATAAAAATAAAATAAATCAAATGGGATAGATATTACAGTCCTTGCTTTTGGACCATTCCCCAGTTTGACATATTAGTTCATTGATGAGAGGACTAGGGAGGAATTGGGTTTTTACCAGAGGGAGACCTGGAGCTGACCCAACAGATTTAAAGCAGCTTTATGGGATAATCCGCTTGAGAAGGATGACAATGTAGGCAAGCGATTCCGTGCTGTTTCATTCCTCTACCTGCCTATCCCCAGGACCATGGCCAACTGTGAGCGTACCTTCATTGCGATCAAACCAGATGGGGTCCAGCGGGGTCTTGTGGGAGAGATTATCAAGCGTTTTGAGCAGAAGGGGTTCCGCCTTGTTGGTCTGAAATTCATGCAGGTACGTGGACTTCATTGTTCCCATTTTGATTCCTTTGTAGTATAGGAGAACACTGTGATGAACCTGCTTCTCCCGACCTTTCTTACTTAAACTTCTCCATGGTAGAGTGAACACAAACGTCTTGAGACCTGGAAACTCCTCAGTGCCCTAGCGCTGGGCTACGTCTTGGAACAAACCAAGTTATTTAGGATTTTCCGAAATAGTCTCTGTAATATGAGGTGCATTGCTAAGGGAAAAGCAGAGCAGAGTTCCACATATGACTGTACTTCTGTAATTTCTGATTCAGAGCTGGGCATGTTTTTCTTGGTCTTGAGCTTCCTGAGCAGGTAATTTTAGAGAGATTTTTTTCCCCCTTTGAGACTTATCATCATCCTACCATCATCAATTACTAGACACTAATAAATGCTTAGTGTCTAGCATATATTAGGTATCATAGGAGCTTGTGGAGGAAAACTATGGTTTTGCTTTTGGGGAGGTTCTTCTGAAATAGGAGAAAGCAGATGCACCTGCAAGCTACTTAAAAAGCAGTCTTTTGATAAATGTAAAGGATGGATTGACCAAGAACCCGTCTTCAAACAAATTCCAGAGATTAGAATTCAAATTCTTGGCTGGGCGAGGTGCAGTGGCTCACGCCTGTAATCCCAGAACTTTGGGAAGCCAGGGCGGGCTGATCACTTGAGGTCAGGAGTTGCAGACTAGCCTGGCTAACATGGCAAAACCCTGTCTCTACTAAAAATACAACAATTAGCCGGGTGTCAGGGCAGGTGCCTGTAATCCCAGCTACTTGGGAAGCTGGCTGAGATATAATAATTGTTTGAACCCAGGAGGGGGAGGTTGCAATGAGCTGAGATTGTACCGCACTGCAGCCTGAGTACAGAGGGAGACTGTCTCCCCCTCCCCCCCAAAAAAAGAATACCAATTCTCAAATCAGATAGGTGACAGTTTGTTTTCCTCAAAGGGAATCAATTTTGGACCCTTCTAGTGCATTTTAAAATTTAGTTTGACTTGCAATTTACTTCCTATGTGATGTTTTTAGGAAAACTGCTTTGGGGCCGGCTCAGTGACTCGGGCCTGTAATCCCAGCAGTTTGGGAGCCTCCGTCTTAAAAAAAAGAAAGAAAAAACTGCTTTAATGTAAGAGAGGGTAGACTGATGTTCATGCTGAGAGGAGAATGTGGTGTCCAAGGTTAACGAGCTGGCATCTAATAAAGGTTTTCTTGCTGCATCACCCCATGGCAGAATGGAAGGGCAAGAGAGCGCAAGAGTGAGAGAGAGAGCTAGAGAGAGAGCACGATGGGGACTGACCTTGATTTTATAACATACCTACTCCTGAGATAAGACATTATTCATGAGGGTGAAGCCCTCATGACCTAAATACCTGCCAGTAGGCCCCACCTCCCAACATTGTTACATTGGGAATTAAATTTCCAACATGTGAACTTCGGGGGCCACATTCAAAGCACAGCAGAAGGTAAAATGAAATGAATGTGTTGTTGATCAGGCATTTACCATCTGCTGGCACATGTGTTTTCTGATTTAGTCTTCATGCCAGCCTTGAGAAGTCCTTATTCCTGTTCTCATGGTTGTTAGTGATGAGCAGCCTAAGGCTTGGAGAGCTTCAGTGATGTGCCTGATAGCATACAGTCAGTGAAGACACTGGGATTTTAACTTGAGGCTCTCTGACCTTTGAGTGCGGACATTTTCTCCTTTACATTTAATTTCCTATCAAGGATATGTGGGTTTGGTGAAGAATGAATGGAAGGATAGCTGCCATGACTCAAAAGGGGCATTTAAATCTGGTGTGGAGGTAGGAAGCAAGGGGGAACTTGAGCTTCTCAGCCCCTGAGCCCTTAAAAAAGCCTGTAATCTGTTTTGCAGACTAAGCATAATTAGTTAGGGCCTGTATGGTGGCTCACACCTGTAATCCCAGCATTTTGGGAGGCCAAGGCGGGCAGATCATTTGAGGTCAGGAGTTCAAGACCAGCCTAGCCAACATGGTAAAACCCCATCTCTACTAAAAATGCAAAGTTTAGCCAGGTGTGGTGGCACATGCCTGTAGACCCAGGTACCACGGAGGCTGAGTCAGGAGGGTGGCTTGAACTCTGGAGGTGGAGGTTGAAGTGAGTGGATTTCAAGTCACTGCACTCCGGGCTGGGCAACAGAGCAAGACCCTGTCTCAAAAATAGATAATCAGTTATCGGTGTAGTGGTGCACACCTGTAGTCCTAGTTACTGAGAGTCTGAGATGAGAGGATTGCTTGAGCCTGGGAGTTTGAGGCCGCAGTGAGCTATGATCATGCCACTGCACTCCAGCCTGGGTGACAGAGAGACCCTATCCCAAAACAAACAGCAACAACAAAAAGGTAATTGGAACCAATTAATAGATTTAAAAGAGGACTCTGGTAAGGGAAAGTGACCTCAGTGTCGGTTAGGAGACTTGTACTGCAAAAGTCTTCATTTGGATAGGAAAGGACAGGGTGAGGATTGGATCCCTACCACGGAATGATTATATGGCCATATAGTTTTACTTTGGCAAGTGATGATCAACTGGTGGCTGAATGATGGGGCTTCTCAGCAGCCAGTCTCCACATTTGTGAGTGTCTCTAATGTGTGCGATATGCGTTATACAGTGCAATACCACAGAGCTGGAAAAACCAGGGGACCCTGTTAGACTTTAACAAGCATATATGCAGTACAAGAGAGAACACAGCCAGGCTGAGTTGAAACTACAGATGATTTGTTCTCTAGCTAACGTGATTTTTTCCCGCATATTAGCCTTGGAGTGTGAGAGGTTCTAATTCATTTTTCAGCAAAATTATTTATTGCTAGATGTCATGCACTTTTGTGTGGTTTGTAGATACCTTTGGGAATCACATGGTCATCATGCTGGGCTTTTATCCTCTGAATAAACGTGAAATATCCCTGGGTAATGGCCTGGTTTAGTTTGCTGCTCATCAAATGCCAAGACTTTCTTTCTGGTGTCCTTCTAACATTTTATTTGGGGTTTACTCTGGGAATGGAATTTATTGTAGTGTTAATTTTCCCATCTAAAATGAGATGCTTGAGGGCCAAGCATTGTGGCTCACACCTGTAAGCCCAGTATTTTGGGAAGCCGAGGCCGGAGGATCTCTTGAGTCCAAGAGTTTGAGACCTGCCTAGGCAACATAGTGAGACCCTATCTCTATAAATAATTTTTTAAAATTAGCCAGGAATGGCCAGGTGTGGTGCCTTATGCCTGTAATCCCAGCACTTTGGGGGGCTGAGGCAGGCAGATCACCTGAGGTCAGGAGTTTGAGACCAGCCTGGCCAACATGATGAAACCCCAGATCTACTGAAAATACAAAAATTGTCTGGGCATGGTGGTGGGTGCCTGTAATCCCAGCTATTTGGGAGGCTGAGGCAGGAGAATTGCTTGAATCTGGGAAGCAGAGGTTGCAGTGAGCAGAGATCACTCCACTGCACTCCAGCCTGGGCAACAGAGGGAGACTCTGTCTCAAAAAAAAAAAAGAAAGAAAATTAGCCAGGTCTGATGGTGTGTTTCTATCTACTAAGGAGTCTGAGGAGGATCACTTGAGCCTGGGAATTTGAGGTGTTTTTTTTTTTATTTATTTTTTTTAACACAGTCTGTCACCCAGGCTGGAGTGCAGTGGCATAATCTCAGCTCACTGCAACCTCTGCCTCACAGGTTCAAGTGATTCTCCTGCCTTAGTCTCCCGAGTAGCTGAGACTACAGGTGTGTGCCACCACATCTGGCTAATCTTTGTATTTTTAGTAGAGACAGGCTTTCACTATGTTGGCCAGGCTGGTCTTGAACTCCTGACCTCGTGATCCGCCGGTCTGGGCCTCCCAAAGTACTGGGATTATAGGTGTGAGCCACAGTGCCTGGCCTTTTTTGTTTTGTTTTGTTTTTGAGACGGTGTTTCACCCTTGTTGCCCAGGCTGGAGTGTAATGGCATGAGCTCAGCTCACCACAACCTCTACCTCCTGAGTTCCAGGGTTTCTCCTGTCTCAGCCTCCCAGGTAGCTGGGATTACAGGCATGCACCACCATACCTGGCTAATTTTGTATTTTAAGTAGAGACGGGGTTTCTCCGTGTTGGTCAGGCTAGTCTTGAACTCCTGACCTCAGGCGATCCTCCCACCTCGACTTCTTAAAGCGCTGGGATTATAGGTGTGAGCCAACACAATGCCTGGCCTAGAGTTTGAGGTTTTTTTTAATGAGAGAGCTGGATTTAATTTTAATGTTCTGTGGTTTTATTCTTAATAGGGAGATAATTGGTATAAAATTATAGAAGCACTTTTGAGTCCTGTCACTGCTCCCTTCCAGTGTGGAGAATGAATTGGGTTACAACAGAATCAGTGAGCCCAGCCGCTCATGTTTTACATAGCAGGGTGGGTGAGGGGGAATTAAATGGATTGCATGTTCTTAGATGGTTTGGGGGCCATTCTCATTCTTTCTCATGTTGAATAGGCCTCTGAAGACCTTCTCAAGGAACACTACATCGACCTGAAGGACCGTCCATTCTTTGCTGGCCTGGTGAAATACATGCACTCAGGGCCGGTAGTTGCCATGGTGAGTGCCTGTGTGGGATACTCCAAGCATGCATTGCTTGTGATCTGTGCCAGGCTCTCTTCTAGACGCTGGGGATACAGTCGTGAATGAGAACAAATAGATATGTTTTCATATATCAGCTAATGGTTAGTGATATGCCCAGAAATGAAATAGGTTAGTTACAGGCCCAGAAATGAATAGGAGTAGCAAGTGATCACTTGACATTAGATGATCAAAGAACGCAATTTTTTTTTTTTTTTGAGATGGAGTTTCGCTGTTGTTACCCAGACTGGAGTGCAATGGCATGATCTCGGCTCACTGCAACTTCCGCCTCCTGGGTTCAAGCAATTCTCCTGCCTCAGCCTCCCAAGTAGCTGGGACTACAGGCGCGTACCACCATGCCCAGCTAATTTTGGTATTTTTAGTAGAGATGGGGTTTCACCTTGTTGACCAGGATGGTCTCGATCTCTTGACCTCATGATCCACCCACCTCAGCCTCCCAAAGTGCTGCGATTATAGGCGTGAGCCACCGTGCCCGGCTATTTTTTTTTTTTTTTAAGATGGGGTTTCACCATGTTGGTCAGGCTGGTCTTGAACTCCTGACCTCAGGTGATCTGCCCGCTTTGGCCTCCAAAGTGCTTGGATTACAGGCGTGAGCCACCACGCCCAGCCAAGAATGCAATTTCAAGCTCAGCCTTAATGACAAGAAGCAGCCAGCCACGTACAGAATCACAGTGAAGAGCATTTCCAGCCAAGAAAACAGCATGCACAAAAGGCCCAGGATGGGAATGAGCTTGGCGTTTTGAAGTACAGAAAGAGAGTTGAAATGCCTGAAGCCTGATGGCTGGGAGGGAAGTTGGGGTGGGAGGAGTTCAGAGGCATGGGCAAGGGCCCCTCTCTTGGGGGAGTGTGTTGACCATGTACTTCCTGAGTGCTGCGAAGCTACTGGACCCTTCACATTTGGGATTTTAAAGAGGCTGCTCTGGTTGCTGTATAGGGAATGCATTGTAGAAAGGCAAGCCTGAGGGCAGGGAGACCAGGTTCCCGAATGCTGGAACAAGTGAATACTCTAAACATTGGTTCAGTGAGTGAATGTCATCTTATGGAGCCTTTGTATTTTTCCTTTTTTGAATTAATAGTTACCAGATTTTCTGCTGAGATTGGTTTTCTTCCTTGACCTTATCTTCTTCTGTCCTTGGAGGTCTGGGAGGGGCTGAATGTGGTGAAGACAGGCCGAGTCATGCTCGGGGAGACCAACCCTGCGGACTCCAAGCCTGGGACCATCCGTGGAGACTTCTGCATACAAGTTGGCAGGTGAGATGTTGGTGTTCTCCCTGCTTTTCCAAATTCTGGTTTAGTTGCCATAAGGATTCGGGTTTCTAAGGCTGGAGGTAGACATGATACCATATGCAGGTTGATTTTATTGGAGTTTCTTGTTTTCTTCCTTGTTAAGTTGGTGGTTTGGCTTTGGTTGTTAATATCACTGTGGTTGTACCTCTCTTACACAAAGTGTAGAACCTGGTACAACATACTTTGCTGGCCAGAGTCTTTCCCGAAGGCTCTCACTGTTTGCACCAGTGTGACCAGGAAGGCTGGATGTGGGGAGGGCATTCATCACCGTTATATAATGGCCACTGTAGGCTTTTTCTTTTAACACAGTCTAATGTCCATGGAGCTTCAGCTTTTATGCTGCAGTGGCTGTAGATTTCTGGCAATGGGCGCATTTGAATCCTTCTGGTCTTGGTAATGTGACTGTCTCTTTCTCCACCCAGGAACATCATACATGGCAGCGATTCCGTGGAGAGTGCAGAGAAGGAGATCGGCTTGTGGTTTCACCCTGAGGAACTGGTAGATTACAAGAGCTGTGCTCAGAACTGGATCTATGAATGACCAGACGGCAGACCACAATGCTTTTCACATTCATTTCCCCTCCTTCCCGCGGGCAGAGGACCAGGCTGTAGGAAATCTAGTTATTTACAGGAGCTTCTTCATAATCTGAAGGGAAACTCTTGGAGCTGTGAGTGCTCCCTGTACAGTGTTACCATCCCCTACCTCGGATTAAAATGCTTCCTCCCACCAGAGGATTCATGGAGTTGGCTACTTGGTTTTGCTTTTTTTTTTTTTTTCATGTACACGGAATAACCTGACCTAATAGAGAGTGTAAATACTATATAAATCATTTATATTGATTTCTCACATACACACAGGCATTGCCTGCCTCTCTCCTTAACCCTTGCATCCTTTCCACCCTGGGCACTGAGCCAGCCAACAGGCATGTATGGAGCATCTGCGAGGCGGCCAAGACTGGACTAGGTGCAGAGGATTCATCAGAAGTAAAAGAAAGTATGAGGGCTGGGTGTGGTGGCTTGTGCTTGTGATCACAGCTACTTGGGAGGCTAAGGTGGGAGACCAGCCTGGGCAACATAGCAAGACTGTCTCATTTAAAAAAAAAAATAGCCCAGGAATGATGGCTCATGCCTTTAATCCCAATGATTCAGGAAGCTGGCAGGGAGAATCACTAGAGGCCAGAAGTTCAAGTCCAGCGTGGGCAACATAACAAGACACGTGTTTACAAGAAAATTAGACAGCTCTAGTGCTGTGCACCTTTAGTCCTAGCTGTTAGGGAGGCATAGGCAGGAGGATTGCTTGTGCCCAGGAGTTCAAGGCTGCAGTGAGCCATGATCCTGCTATTGTACTTCAGCCTGGGCGACAGAGTGAAAGCAGTCTCTTAAATAAAAATAAAAAGATATCCATCCTGTTCTTGAGAAGCTCTTGGAGATTCAGTGAATGGGGGAGTGTGAGAAGTTGTAATTACTCCAAATATCAGAAAAGCTAGGTAGACAATATGCCTGGAGCCTTGAGATGGCCTCAAATGAAGCTGGAGCTCTTGTAAGTAGCTTTGATTTGTTAGGATATTGATATGGTTGCTTTAACAGAGACAAGACAGAAATATACTTCTCTTTCATTTGAAAGTTAAAGTGTGGGCTGAGTGTGGTGGCTCACGTCTGTAATCCCAGCATTTTGGGAGGCCGAGGCGAGTGGATCACCTGAGGTCAGGAGTTCAAGACCAGCCTGGCCAACCTGGTGAAACCCTGTCTCTACTAAAAATACAGAAATGAGCTGGGTGTGGTGGGCACCTGTAATCCCAGCTACTCAGGAGGTTGAGGCAGAAGAATTGCTTGAACCCAGGAGGTGGAGGTTTTAGTGAGTCGAGATCACGCCCTTACGCTCCAGCCTGGGTAGCAAGAGCAAAACTCTGTCTTGAAAAAAAAAAAAAAAAAACAATCAAGTGTGGTTGGGTGCGGTGACTCATGCCTATAGTCCCAGCACTTTGGGAGACTAAGGCAGGAGGATTTCTTGAGCCCAGGAGTTTGAGGTGTTTTTGTTTTGTTTTGTTTTTTTTGAGGCTGAGTTTCGCTCTTGTTACCCAGGCTGTAGTGCAATGGCGTGATCTCGGCTCACCTTAACCTCCACCTCCTGGGTTCAGGCAATTCTCCTGCCTCAGCCTCCTGAGTAGCTGGGATTACAGGCGTGCGCCACCATGCCCAGCTAATTTTTTGTATTTTTAGTAGAGACAGGGTTTCACCATGTTGACCAGGACGGTCTCGATTTCTTGACCTCATGATCCACCCGCCTTGGCCTCCCAAAGTGCTGGGATTACAGGTGTGAGCCACCGCACCCGGCCAAGGTGGGTTTTTATGTTTGTTTTTAAGATGGAGTCTTGCTCTGTCACCCAGGCTGGAGTGCAGTGGCACAATCTCAGCTCACTGCAATCTCTGCTTCCCGGGTTCAAGTGATTCTCCTGCTGTAGTCTCCTGAGTAGCTGAGACAACAGGGCCTTTGGGAGGCCCAGGCAGGCCGATCGCTTGAGTTCAGCAGTTTGAGACCAGCCTGGGTGACAAAGTGAGACCTCATCTCTACCAAACATTAAAAAATTCGTTGGGTGCAGTGGTACATTCCTGTAGTCCCAGCTACTCAGGAGGCTGAGGTAGGAGGACTGCTTGAGGCTGGGAGGTTGGAGCAGTAACCTGTGATCCTGCCTCTGCACTCTAGTCTGGGTGACAGAGTGAGACCCTGTCTTCCAAAAAAAAGCTCAGGCTGGGCACGGTAGCTCACGCCTGTAATCCCAGCACTTTGGGAGGCCAAGGCGGGTGGATCATGAGGTCAGGAGATGGAGACCATCCTGGCCAACATGGTGAAACCCCATCTCAAAAAAAAAAAAAAAAAAAAAAAAAAGGCTGGGCACAGTGGCTCACGCCTGTAATCCCAGCACTTTGGGAGGCTGAGGCGGGTGGATCACAAGGTCAAGAGATCAAGACCATCCTGGTCAACATGGTGAAACCCCGTCTCTACTAAAAATACAAAAAATTAGCTGGGCATGGTGGCGCACACCTGTAATCCCAGCTACTCTGGAGGCTGAGGCAGGAGAATTGCCTGAACCCAGGAGGCAGAGGTTGCGGTGAGCTGGGATCGCACCATTGCACTCCGGCCTGGGTAACTCCATCTAAAAAAAAAAAAAGAAAAAGAAAAATCCCTAGCTGTTCAGTAGGGGTGGTGATGGTGATGGTGGTAAGGCTCCAATCCTTAAGGTGGTCTACACACACCTGGCTCCTTCTAATCAGTCCTACTTGGATTACCACCCCATGTCCCTACCTGCAAGTTGGGAAGGGAAGTGGAAGAAGCATCCCTTTTAAAGAGACAACTCTGATTTACAACCTTCACTTTCTCTCACATCCCATTGGAACTTAGTCATATGGCTGCATCTAGCTGCAAGAGAAACTGGAATTTTTGTTTCTTTTTGAGACAGGATCTCGCTCTGTCACCTAGGATGGAGTGCCGTGGCGTTATCACAGCAGTTCACTGCAGCCTTGCCCTCTCTGGGCCCAAGTGATCCTCCTACCTCAACCTCCTGAGTAGCTGGGACTGCAGGCACATGCCACCACACCCAGCTAATTTTTGTATTTTCTGTAGAGATAGGGTTTCATTGGCCAGGGACCGTGACTCAGGCCTGTAATCCCAGCACTTTGGGAGGCTGAGGCAGTTGGATCATGAGGTCAGGAGTTCGAGACCATCCTGGCCAACATAGTGAAACCTTGTCTCTACTAAAAATACAAAAAAAAAAAAAAAAAAAAAAAAAAGAGAGAGAGAGAGATGTTGCCCAGGCTGGTCTCCAACTGCTGGGCTCAAGCAATCTGCCTGCCTGGGCATCCCAAAGTGCTAGGATTATAGCGTGAGCCACTGCGCCCAGCCTGAGGGTTTTTCTTATCTTTCTGTTCATCTGGCTTCGGTAGAGGCAACAGAAGGGAAGGGACTTCTCATGATGGGGGAAAAAAGGGTAGCTGGGTTGGGCTGCCTTTACGGACTGATGAGGGTGAGATAAATTTCTGTTAATATTTCACATGGTGTGACCTGTTTGTTTTGGGGCATCAGATGAGCATACCAGGACTTGTGTGTAGTGAAGCTGGAGGGTTACAACCTCCCCAGCTAAAGACAGTCTTCCCAGGAAGGAAAGAAGAGGTGAGAGCAGAGGTGTGGTCTTGACTGTACCCTAAGTAGCCATCAGTGACCTGACCAAGGGGCAAATAGCCCTCCACCAGACAGAGAAAAGTCCATGAAATTTCCAGACCTGTTTCCATAGTTGACATTTGGTAATCCAAATGAGAGTGTGCCCCCAAACGAGGGCACGTGGCAGTCGTTGTCAATGTCTGCTGGGCTCTGTAACTAGAAGTTTGGAAAGCAGATGAGGTATAACAGAGGCCAGGTTGCCATCCATCTGGCCAGTGACAAGTGATCAGCGCAGTGCTAGGGGTACTCGGGTGATTTGTGGTCAGCTCAGAGTCTTGAGGGGAAGTAAGTAGGCTTCCACCATCTCAGGGCAGCACCACCGCTGTGCTGCTGTCAGTGCTGCAGGTGCTGAGAGGAGGGGCTTGTGACTACCCCAGGGAAGCTGGGCACCACCAAAGGGAGCTTGTTTGCCAGGCACATGGCAAGTTGGAATTGTCTACAAGTTGATGACAGCCCTGATCTCTGTGATAGGATCTTGATTCTCCTCAGCGTCCAGGGGCGAGGCTCAGGGCGAACTGAAAACTTGACCACATTTTAGTGCCGGGTGGGCATGGTTCCCCATCTCAGGGTGGGAGTAGGGTGTCTGATTGGGGCTGGAAATGTAGGTGGGGAGGTGGCAGCCAGGGAGCAGGGCATCCTGCGAAAAGAGCATCTCGGTAAGGAGTCTGAACGCCATTCCTGCAGGTGAGGGAGTCATCAAGGCAGAGCAGAGGCAGGACCAGATGGCTGTTTGAGGTGCTGAGCGAGGCTCCCGGCTTTCAGGGAGAGGTAAGATCGAGGCCCGTTTGGAGGCTGAGGCTTAACCAGGGCTCAAGCAGCGGGAAGGGAAGGCTGGACTTCAGAGGTAGGGAGGATAAGGACAGTGGGTGCACCATGGGGAGGGAGAATCAATTCAAGGTTAACGCCAGTGCTCGGGCGGATGGTGAAAGCAGCAGATGGCCCTGACCGGGGAGGGAACTCGAGCACAGGAGCAGGGTGTGTGTGTGTGTGCTTGTGCGTGTGTGTAGAAGCTTTTGGGGTCACGGGAAGTACTGAGAGGTGAGGAGTGGGATTTGGGACGTAAGAATCACTTCCTGTCTCTGGATCCGTCTCGATCTCTGCCCAGCGAGGGCGCGCCCCGGTTGGGCGTGGGCACTGCGTTGTAGGGCCGCGTCCGGCCGGGCGGGTGGGGAGTCCCCGCGGGTTGGGCGGCCCGGCCTTCTGGGGTGTGGCCGCAGCGCGCTCCGCCCCGCGCCCCTCCTCCGCCGCTGGCTCCGGGTGTGGTGGTCGCTCCAGCTCTCTGCTCCGGCACCGCAGCGCCGCCGCCCGGCCCCGCCAGCTTTCCGGTAAGGCTTGGGGGCGCATCCCCTGGCGACTCCTCCGGCTTCCTAATCCGCTTGCGCGGCCGCGGGTCTGTGGGTGGCCCTCGATTTCCCGCAAGTCCTGCCCGGGGTCGGAGCGGGAGATTTCCTTGCCGCGTGAGCCCCGCGGGCCTCCGGGCTCCGCACAGGGACGCCGGCCCTGAGCGGGCGGAAGCGCCCGGGAAGC